AGGGCGCACTTGAGGCTCCAATGCGTCCTCGTACTCGCAGGAGGCCGTCGTCGATTACGGGGTCCAGCTTGTACAGACGACTCGTTCTAGGGATTGGGCGAACTGCTTTGATCCTCTTCAGCTCGTCTCCAAAGTCGTCCTCCTGTGCTCGTTGCATGAGAGCTCGTTCGGCGCGTTCTATGTGCTGTAGCTCCATGCGGGTCGCTCGCTTCCGGCAGATGTCTGTGAAAGCCAGTATGTTCGCGGTTGCTCTTACTAGCGTCTCGAATCTCGAGAAGCGGGTCGGGTCAGGCATCCAGTCGAAGTGGCTCTCGTCCTGCTGGCTCAGGTGCAGGACTTCCTCTCCATCTTCATGAGGTTCCTGTTCTGTGGGCCACCGGTCCTCTGGTTCGTGTAGGAATCCGGGTCCTTGGAACCATCGGTCTTCCATGCGTACTGGAGTCTGGCTTTGTCTTGTGGCATCGTCGGCTGGGTTGTCAGCGGTCGGCAGCCAACGCCACTCGTCTTTGTGCGTGAGTTCGGCGATCTCCCCTAGCCGATGTGCAACGAATGGAGTGTATCGTCGCGCGTCGTTACGCACCCAGTGGACTACGGTTGATGAGTCCGTCCAATAGATGGTCTTCTTTATCTCGATGCGGTGCTCGCGCCTGATAGTGTCGGCGAGTCTTGCTCCGATGAGTGCAGCCTGTAGTTCAAGGCGCGGGATGCTTTGTGTACGCCGTGGTGCCACCTTAGCCTTTGCTCCAACTAGGGTCACTTTCGCGCTACCGTCTTGGTGTACAACCCTCCAGTAGGCCACAGCAGCGTACGCTTGTTCGCTCGCGTCGCAGAACACATGTAGTTCAGTGTGCTCATGGTTCTCCAGGGCGTAGTTCCGGTGCAGGTGCAGGCGTGCGATTTCGTTCAGTTGTCGCAGCCAGGATGCGAAGAGTTCGGCTTCTTCCGCAGGGATCGGCTCGTCCCATGGTATTTCTAGTCGCCATAGGTTTTGAAGCACGATCTTTGCTCTGATCGTGTAATGGCTTAGCAGTCCCAGCGGGTCATAGATCGACATGACCGCACTGAGTGTTTCTCTCTTGGTGGGTGCGCGGCTCTGGTTGCGCACCTCGGCTGGGACCCGGTTCATGGCTGTGTCGAAACCGAGTTCATCTGTTTGCGGGTTCCAGTAGAGTCCCAGGATCTTGTTTTCCATGCTCTCGATCGTCCCGAGCGCGGTGGGCGTAGTTGCTCTGAGTTCTGTCGGGACGTCGCGCAGCACGTTCGGATGGCTTGAGCTCCAGCGCCTTAGCGTGAAACTGGCCGCTGCGTGTACTTCACGTAGCTCTTGTATGGTGGCGCGAGCTTCGTGTTCACTGTCGTAGCTGTCCACCAGGTCGTCCATGTAGTGGCTTTGAGTAATTGCCACTAATGCTCGCGGATGGGTCTCTGCGTGCATGATCGCATTGTGGTTGCGGACTGTGTGAGCCATGAATGGGGAGCTGGCTGCGCCGAATATCATGCTCCTCATTTTGAAGCATCGTGGTGGGTCAGTTCTGTTCTCCCCTCTCCACAGGAACTGCTGTGCCGGTTGATCGTCCGGTCGGATCTTCACCTGCAGAAACATCTCTTGGATATCGGCGGTGACGGCGATCGGCTTTTCACGGAATCGGAAGAGGATGCCCTGCAGTGATAGCAGTAGGTCCGGGCCTTCCAGCAGCTGGTCGTTCAGGCTCACGCCTCGGTTCTTGTGCGCCGCGTCGAACACAAGTCGCTGCTTACCGGGCTTGTTCGGGTTCTGTACGGCAAAGTGTGGTAGATACCAACTAACAGCGCTGTTTTGTTCAGTGCCGTCGCATGGCACCGCGTAGCCTTTGTTGAATAGGTTCTCCACTTGGGCGGTGTACTGTTCGGCGAAGGCGGGATCGGCGTCCATTTTACGTTCTATGGCGCGTAGTCGTCGTAGCGCTGCCTCGTAGCTCGGAGGCATCGTAGTTCCGTCGGTTTTCCACGGCAAACCAACCTCGTAGCCGCCATCGACTTTCTTCATAGTTCTTCTCACCATTGCGATTGCTCGTTGGTCCGCAGCACTCACGCGCGGTCTGTGCGCGATGCCGAGAGCGTCGATGCGGAAGTGTGCCTCGATCAGTTCGTGTAGGCGGTCGTCGTGCTGCTGGTTCTCGTGTAGCGGATGATCAGGAGTCCACACGTGCAGCACATTGTTGCGTTGATGGACGGCGTTCCTTGGTACGGTTCCGTGTACCACCCAGCCCAACTGTGTTCGGGATGCAGCTGGTTGGTTGCGTCCACCAACTCGTAGTTCGCGACTCACTATCAGCTCCCAATTGTCGCTGCCGATCAGGAGGAGCGGGCGTGCCAGATCGTAGCACACGTCTTCCCGTATGTCCCGTAGATGCTTTGCCTCCAGCAGCGAGCTCGGTATGGACTGCTGGTGCAACTTCAGATCACGCACCGTGCGGGCTCGGATGTTCATCGGCTTGTCCTGCGTTGTTCCTTTCAGCTGTAAGCTGACGGTTCGGCTCTGATGTTCTTGTGTCATATTCACTCCATGTAGGCGCAACGGTGTTGAGGGTCCTTCCGCTCCGATGCGCTGTGCCAGTTCTTCGTCGATGAGGGTTATTGTGGCGCCCTCGTCCATCAGTGCGTATATCTCCACACTTCCCAGTGGTCCCGTTACAGTGACTGGAACCACTTTGAGCAGCACTTCCTTCTCTTTCGGTGGTAGCGTGCCCAGTGATAGCACGGTCTCGTGGTGCTTCGGCGCGTTCGGTGGGGTCACTTCAGGCGGCGTTGTGAGCGGTGCTGCAGGCTGCGCAATGGGCTGACTCAGTTCCTCGTGCAGAGTAGGGTGGTGCGGGCGGCGACATTGGTTCACGCCGCACAGCTTTGCCTTACAAAATTGGCGACGGTGTCGTTTTTCAACGCATCGGAAGCACACTCCTTTTTCTCGCACCATGTTCCAGCGCTGTTCAACACTGAGTGCTTTGTAGGACGGGCACCGGTGTAGCGCGTGGGGTTGGCCGCAGTTCGGGCAGCGGTCCGTTTGTTCGTTCTCAGTGGCAGTGTACACGGCGTTCACCTTCCTTTTCACTATCGCGGGTCTTACTTCTCTCCTCGTTGTTGCGGCAGTACTCGCGGCGGGCGAGTACATATAGCGCAGCGCTCTGTCGGCCTCGCGCATAAGGAAACGTGATAACACGACGATCTCTGGGTCTGCTGTTCCTTCGTGGTCTGCGGCGTAGTCGCACCAGCGGGACTGGATGTGCGGGCTCAACTTGTCAAGCACTTCTCGAGCCAGCAGTGGGTTGTACAGAAATCCACGCTTGTCTATGGTTTTCAGCACGTAGACAACGTTCTGAAGCTTCACGGCGAACGTGTTCAGTTCCGTGGCTGACGCACCCGGTTTCTGCATTCTCCGTAGTTCATCGAGTGCCCGGTCGATGATCACCTCGGGCTTCCCGAAACACTGCTCCAGCGTTCTCATAATGATCGCCGGGTCCGTAGCCGCGTGTAGTAAAGCAGCCACAGCGTCGCGGGCCTCACCCTTCAGGCAGGCTCTCAGTCGTTGCAGGTTCTCCGCGGCCGACAATCCGTACAGTTCCGTTGCGTCTCGTACAGCGGCTTTAAATGGCAGCCACTCGCTCGGTGCACCGGAGAAGACAGGTAGCTCGCCTGCGTGCCGGGGCCGCGGCCTTGCCATCTTCTCTATCGCTTCTGCCAGCTGTTCTATTCCTCTACGCGTACGGGCCGGCGTAGGCGATCTTGTTCGTTCTCTTCTTACGGGAGATGGTCTTCTCACAGGCGAAGGGCTTCTCACAGGCGAAGGTGAGCCGTGGAAACGAGTTCGTCTCGTCCGTTCGTTGGGCTCCGTGGTGGTAAGCGTTTCGCCGCGCTCCCCCCGTACGTGCGCCGGGTTGTTGCGGAACCAGTTGTCCACTCTTCGTTCAGCGGCGGCGAGCGGCTCGTCGCGTAAGCTCTCTGCCTCGTCTTGGATAGATGCCACTTGCACGGCTAACCTTTTCTTAATTAGTTCGGCTTCCAGGCGTAGCTCGGTTCGTCGAATTTCCGCTAGCCTCTCCTCCGCTTCAAGTTCTGCCAGTTGTAGTCGCGCCGCCACACTCGCTGTCGATCGATGCGAGTATGCGGGGGACCTCGGTCGTGATGACTGGGCTGCGGGGTTCATAGCAGTTGACGGTCCAGCGGTGGGTTCGTAGAGCTCCCTTGTCTGACGATCGCAGGCCTCCCCCCGTAGGGATGGGCCTCCACGTTCGGTTGGCGCCACGGTGGGCGACGCCGGCGGATCCAATGCCATTCTCCGCAAACGTTCGTGCTCCACTCGAATTTCTTCAGTGATCTTATCCTGGTCTGCAGCGTCACCCTGGCTCCTGGTGACTACCATTGTTCGGTTCAAATGGCAGTGGGCTGCGAGGATACGAAGTTCCGAGCGGTCTTCACTGTTCCGGGCTTGGTACTTGCTCGAATCCGGCTTCAAAGGATCAGAGATTGTTGGTGTTCTAGCTCTTGTTCGGTGGACTGTATTGTTCAGGTTCTTGATCTGGATCGCAAATGAAACTCTTGATTAAAGTGGATTCAATACGTGTTTATTACCAAAAATGTTCCTACTTAAATACCAATTTCACTCTCTTATCTAGTACAGTGGTTGGCGAGTAGGCGGTCGGCGCGGAGTGCGGGGCGCGGGGAATTCTCTCATCTAGTACAGTGGTTGGCGAGTAGGCGGTCGGCGCGGA